CGACATACATACTTGCGGTGTCTAGATCCCGGTAGTCATATTCTGATATCATAGATTTGGCCAGATGATTCTAAATTCATGCCAGTAACTTCTATCCGAAAATTCAGTAGAACCAGTAACAAGAGGTACCAGTAGCTAATTGAGGGTACCCGATCTAGAGCTGCGCACTTTTGGGGCCGTGAGAGCACTACCTCATCTGAGAGTTTCCAAAATTGACCCAGTTACTCTTAATAGGCGCGATTAAATCAGACCATACTGGTGGAGACATGGAACGGAGATAGCAACACGTGAATGCACTGGGCTTTGGGATATAGATTCATGGCTATCGCCTAATAATAAAGCCTAATCAGCTCAAAGCCACAGAACAATGATCAGAGTCTCCGGGGATCGTGGCGTGTGTGGCGTACCGGAACTAAAAATTTCAGCTGACTTATAAAAGAAAAGTCAGGCTTGAGGTCCGCTGCGGTAACACTCCCAGTCCTACTAAACCATGGTTCATGTTCACAACATCAGACCATCAGCTCCACCTGAATAAACCTAGTTCAGGCAGTACTTAACATAATACTGCAGCTGTGATAACTGCATGCTTGTATTAAGGTCAGCATATCGCGATGATCGTGATGAACCAAAACTTGTAGCTTGCAGTAGGCCAGAATTTTAGACTTAAGCTCAAGCCATTATTATTGACGTAGCTTAGAGCGGCTGAGATGGTTGATTCTCTATCTAGGAAGGCCTACTAGCGGTGAGATAACATAATTCCCGACCGAGTCGCCACCACTCATCTGATTTCGACGCATTCGATCGTTTGAAGCTATCTAAATCAACCAAAACAATAAATTTATATTAGATTTAGCTAGTACAGCGTGGAGGGCATCTAACTCTAGTATGCCCTAAATAAAGTAATTAAAACGCCTTAGTGGTGCGCGTTTTAGGGGTTCTAAATGTAAGGCATGGAACTAGAACTACCCTCTAACGGTCTAACCTTATTTCTGACCTGGACAAGGTCACAAGATCCCTAGCTTCCTGTATGCGGTCCTTTATTATAAGTTATCTAGTATCTAGATCACTACTTTTCTCCTTCTCTTTTCTCATTAGCTGTGTGTAGATCATGATTTTCCTTTACTAGAAGGGCTGTACTATGTATTGCCATCTTATAACCCTTAATAAGTTACTATATAGCTATTTATAAGCTTTAGGATTATTATTTTAGGAGCTTCTTAACTAAGGATGATTACTTTTATAATTATTAAAGTATATGAGGTATACTAAGCTATAATAAATTAGTTAATTAACTTGCGTAGCTTAGAGGGGGGTAGGGGTTAATATATAGATATTTAGCTTCTTAAGCACCCTCTTTAGACTAAAAGGATAGATTCCAACTGTCATAAAGCTATTCTCAATATTTAGAGGCATAAAAGCCTCTAGATAAGCTACTAGATATACTTTAAGGAAGTTAAACTTATGAATTTAGTTATATCCTAAGTGTATCTTTGTTGGTGAGATCCATGGATCTAACCGCTGTGGTTAATCATTGATCATATCCATGGATCTAATAGCCATGGATGATCATCGATTTCAACCATTGCATAGCTATTCTATTCTAAATTCTTCCTTCTATTCTTCCCCTATGCCTAGGCAAGCTATCACTTCCCCTTTAACTTGCGAATTTCCTTTGTCATTTCTATACTATCTATAATCTATTTTGATTAATACAGATGCTACTATCTCCGTACTTCTGAGCAGGAAAATCAGCAACAGCCTACCAGCCCGGAGCCAAGCTAGGCCTAACATTGATGAAGTTGTACTATGTGGAGAGCTAGAACCAGCCTTTAAGAGCGAAGGCCTCAAGGGCGATTTGAAAGATGGTGCACACTAGCTTAGCGTGCGATGGGGGTGATCGATCTTACCCGGTGGAAGCATTACTGAAGTCAGAACTAGTCCTCCTCGACAGGATTGGATTGTCAGAAACGTCAGTGACGCTTCTAGATTCATAGGCAACCCCCAGCCCTTGATCTTGGTAGGAGAGAAATCCGTCTCTATGATCGGGCAAATAAAGTCGGGACTGGGGTACATGCATACCTCTACAGATTAGGATTGCTGGCAGATCAGCTGGTGGCGATCAGATTAGCATATCATGTAAACCGTCCTTATTCACGCATTCATTACACAATATCTGCGACGTCAAAAGCAGTGGATAGACGGAAGTATGCCAGGCCTGCTGTTAAGCCAAAACTCGCCACTGACTTCGACTTCTTAGGTGCTGAAATGAAGTATGTCTCGCATCTAGTCTCAATCAAACTCGAGTACCTTCTACTTTCTCTCTTGAAAAATCCGATGCAGTAATTCAAATATGGGAGGGTAAAACGGATAAGCAGAGAACTAGAGATATACATTTCCATCCGTATGGGAACTACGGTGACGTCCGAGTGTTCCTAACTCGGTTGACCTTTTCGACAGTAAAGTACAAGGCAGTTCATACCACTAGGGTCTTGGAGCCCTGGCCTGGCCGTGAACAGGACAGACGTAGTGCAGAAAGAAGGCGTACGATTTGTGGTAATCCATATATGGCCTCGATAAGGATGGAAGTTGGCAGTTTAGATTCACGTTACAGATAATGAGTGCTAAAGGCCACTACCACTTCAATTGGCCCAGATGGATATTCGTCATCCTGTTCAGCCATGGCTCTGTAAATAGCTGTTATATTCCTATCCCCGATTATTTGTTTTTTTGCCTCGCACAATTCCTTTGGGAACCAAAATGAGTGCACCACTTTCTTGGAATACGCACAGTATCGACTGGTATAGAAAGAATTCTCGTAACCAAACATACAACAAACAGGTCTCCGTGGCGCAATTGGTTAGCGCGTCTGACTGTTAATCAGGAGGTTGGAAGTTCGAGCCTTCCCGGGGACGAATTTTTGTTTCTTTTTTTCCCTCCACCGCGTCCCTTAACCTTCTTTCCGCCTTCATTTACCTTTTCCCTTTCCTCTTTCCTTTGAAGTACATGAGAAGTTAGAATCTAGCTTGTATAATCTCCCACGACTAGGCTTAGGATGTTCATTCAGCCGAGTTTTAAGGCTGCATAGGACTTGGTTAATTTCATGTTCCGGAGCGATATTGTAGGTTCACCATTGCAGTTTCATGGCTGAGATAAATTATTCGATTGGACGCCAAAGGAAGGGATGATTGGAGGACGGAGAGGGCGAGGTGGACATCGATCAGGAAGATCTCTCTACGGGCGGCAGGCATGTGATGTCAATGCCACCTGCGTATATATATATACCCCAAGACACTCCCTCTTCGAGCGAAGTCACACCATGCACGGAGGTATCTGGTAACAAGATGGCCACTCAGACAACGCAGCTGAACTTTCCTCTGACTGCCTCGACCGAACCTCTGAAGCAATATGTTCATCCACCAGAGACAAAGCAGGACAGTGAGTGCTGTCTCATACAAAGAGAGCTGGACACGCATCTGAATGTATTACAGTCAAGTATGCAGATCTCGTTACAATTGATCTCTCGGAGTTCGATCAACCAGGGGGGAAGGAGAAGCTCGCTGCACAGCTAAAGGACGCGGTTCATGAAGTTGGTAATTCTTTCATTCCCGAGCGTCTCTTACCTGACTACTAACTCTCCAGGGTTCTTCTACGTGACCAACTTTGGGCTCACCCAAGAACAAGTGGACCGTCAGTTCGCCATCGCCAAAGAGTTCTTCTCTCTCACCGAGGAAGAAAGGCGCAGTTTCCGGGCCCCGCTGGAAGAAGGCATCTATAATGGCTACAGGCCTCTGGGTTCGATCGAAATTCTCCCAGGTCTACGCGATAACATCGAGTTCTACAACATCATGAAGTTTCTCCCGCAATATGAGCGGACCCACCCCGACGTAATCCGGCGACACTGGGCGGAGATCGAGCGTTTCCATCGCCATGTGCACGAACACATCGCTTACAGACTATTCCGCCTGCTAGCAATTATTCTGGAGATTCCCGAAGACGAACTTGAGAACGGCCACATGTATGATTCCAACTGCGACAGCGGCCTGCGATACATGTGCTACCGTGCGCGCTCCGCTGACGAGAACGAGAAGTACAAGAGCCTCTATTCGCGAGGCCACACAGACAACGGCACCATTACCTTTGTCTTCCAGCAGCCTGTGGCGGGGTTGCAGGTCAAGAAGTATGACGACTCGGAGTGGGAGTACCTGCGGATCCCTCCAGGTACGCTAGCGGTCAACATCGCCGATCTGCTTACCATTCTCTCCAATGGATATCTGAAGAGCGGGGTGCACCGCGTCATTACCCCTCCTGAGGATCAGCAACACTTGGATCGGCTGGGAGTGCTGTACTTTGTCCGTCCGAGCGATCGGCTGAATCTAAGAACGGTGGAGAGCCCACTTCTGCGAAGGCTGGGTTACTACAAGGAGGGGATCAACGAGATCAACATCCCGGCGCCAGAGTGGACAAGGGCACGGATCAAGAAGAATTGGACCAGATCCCCGACAGATCCGAACGAGGGGACCTCTATGGCTGGGTTTAGTGTGAAGCATTTTCATGATTGACCTGGTTAGATTTCAGGCTGTTGCGAGAACGAGGGACAGAGCAATGACTTTATTGGAGACGGAAGTTTGCGTAGATTAGTTGCAACTGAGCTACTGCCGTTACCAGCTGAATATGGAATCCATCTAATGCGAGTTCTATGGACTAATGCACAAAGGCCTGGTGGATGAGTCGGCAGCGCGACTAAGTTGAGGATAAAGTACGGAGTACTGCTGAATGCACATAATGGGCCGGGCTCAAGGCGCGGGCCAGATCCCATAATTGCGAGTCTATTGGCCAGCTTATCAGTGTGGATCGAAGCTATACAAGCTGGAGATGGCCAGTGCGTCAAGTAGGATCGGACTTTATTCAAGAGGGGTAATGCATTAGTCCAGCTGCATGTCCTGCCACACTACCATCACTCACCAATACCGTCGCATGTTGAATAGCACCAATCCATCCATCTACAATCTACAATGCGCTTTCTTCGCCAACGCAATCCCCCGCAGCATCTCATTCGTAAGGATCATCAACCCCTCATCGGCGCCTATCCCTGGCTTGGACAGCAAGAAATCCGGCCTCGTCGCCAACGCCACATGCGCCGTGATGCGAGCGGACACGTCCGTCTCATTCGCAGATCCTCCCAAACAGCACCCGATCTTCTTGTTGTGGCAGTACAGCACCGCATCAATACTCTGATCGACCCCGCCAAGATCAGGCGTTTTGATCTGCACGTAATCGACCGCATCCGCATCCGCAAAATCCTTTATGTCCTGCAGCGTATTGCACCATTCATCCGCGACGATCTTGACATCAATGTCTTTGCGTTTTAGGCAAGCACGGAGGTCCCCCAGTCGCTGGATCTGCGCCGATTTGGAGGACGCAATGATGGGTGATTCGATGAGGAGGGCGTAGGGTCGGGCGCGCTGACGTAGCTGGCCTAGAAAATCAGCAAGCCTCGATGTCTCCGGAAAGACATCTCCTAGGGTACCGTAGACATCGAAATGAAGACGGGGGTGGTAGCCTGGTGGAGCGCGTTCCTGGATCCGACGAGCGACGGTGCTCACGTAGTCCATCAATACTGTACCCCGGGGACCTATATCGGAGACATGCACAAACGAGGCGTGAGGGAGCATCGGCGCCTTTTTCATGATCATTCGGTCCAGCTGAAGCGTGTCATTGCGGTGGCAGGACGCGAGAATATCAACGGGATGATCTGAAATTGAGGCGAGTCTCCACTCGCGACATATCACCTCGGCGATTGTACGGCGCTGAGCCAGTGCGGTGGCTGCAAGGAGCGCTTGCGTGAGACCATACCGGACTGCGGAGTGGAGCTTGCAATTCTGCAATTGCTTCCAGGGCAAGTCAACCCATTTCGCGTTCTGTCGGAAATTCGAGATGTCGCAACTCAGCAGCCAGGGCTTCACCACGGCCTCGAGGATAGGGAGGTGCTCTTCTGCAATGAAGAGGGAGTCTCGCGATGCAGCACCGGAAAAAATGACATCAACGCAGTCTCCTACTGCGATCTCGCCGCAAGGAAGATGCAGTATGATTGAAATAACTTGCCCAGCTTGTACGACGCTTCGGAAACCAGGTGTGCGTGGCGAGATGTTGTCCCTCAAAGGGTCGTACGCTGGACTCTGGCGAACTGCCTCGAGATCTTTGACAAAGTAGCCGGATAGTCCAATGACGAATTGAACGTCCGTAGGCTTCATTTTCGCTTGATCAAGCAGAGAAACGTGAATTGGTTCGGGTTACGGGGAGGAAGGTACACGCAGGACGCTTATGAAGTGCTTCGCGCTAATTCATGATAGATTCCGATAGATTGATGATCAATTCTTCACTGAGTTTAGTCCCCACCCAAGCGATGTTCGTTCTTGTGCAGTTGATCAGGGTCTAAGATCTAATGTAGTTCTGGAGAATACTTCCATCCACACGAAGCGGTCTAACCTCATCTCCTAATTATGCAGGGCGATTATATTACTGATTATTCCAGCTACCTAGTCGGAAATTAAGTACTCGAATAAATCTTGGCGTGGCTGCACTTTTCAGTTCCTTGATTGAATAATCCGATGATTTGAATAACCAGAATGCCGCTTCAATTCGGTCTTGACTGTTTGGGTTGATCCTCCCCTGCATTACCAGCTATCAGGGCGCTCCAACTAGTGCGAATCCTTGACAATTAAGGATATTCTTCCCGACTACTTGCAATAAAGACGCCCAGCTGAGTATGATTGTGTTTTGACTCATCCGGGAAATGGCGATATCCTAATATGTTTGTGGGTGAGACTTTACTATATGATTTATACATTATAAGAGAACAATAAGTACATGAGAACCGCTTACTCTGCCATAAGGGCGACGAGAGTCAAGCTGCAACCAACCTCAGCTTCATCTCCCTCTTCCAGCCCTTCATTCCCAGTGTGATAAACACCACCCCGTTCCAAAACCCTCGCAGCGATCCCATTGCTCCGACAGCTAGCAGCAACGGATACGAAACATGGTTCGGGTTTACAAGGGCGGATAACCGATTGATCGTGGGGGCAACCCATGTGGCCAGCAGGACAAGGAAAAACACCATTGGCATGAGGATGTATTGTCTGAAAGATACGTTGGAATGCTTGGATCGTTGATGATCTGGGGGGACGTTGTGGGAGGATGGGTCTCCGCGCGATGAGTGGGGGCTCTGTTCGGTTGAAGAGGGATAGACATGGGAGGCCGGCTGGGATTGAATGTCGATTTGGACAGTGACCGCGACGGCGTTTTTGTGCTGGTCAAGGGTGTGGTTGCTGGTGGAGATGTTGGAAGACAGAGCGATGTGGTCTGTACGGGAGAGATTGAACTGGTGTCGCAGTTTGATTACTTTGATACCGACGAGGATGTAGAAAAGCAACACGCTCACGATGAGAAACCTGGAATAGGACTAAGTTAGCAAACTCAACACGGATTATGGGCGCATTAGAAGAGGAGATTCACCATATTGGTCCGTAGTAGAACACGATTCGGAAGACAACCCAATTGGGAGATATCGAACACCAGAGCTGTGATCGTTAATATCAGTGGAAAAAGAAGAAGAGACAGATGCTGACTTACAGTTACGCTACCATACATGGGTCCTTTCTCCGGTGTATGAATGAATAAAAAGACGATCGCCGGAATAGATACGATGGATGTGATGATAGCGATATACCATATCTCAAGCTTGCGCAACGCCTGCACGTTGAATTGATAGTAGACTACCAGGAACACGTCGCAGGCCATCGCCAGTGTCCAAAGGACATCTGCCATAGGGAACCTGTTTATAAAGTCACAACAGTACTCCATGAATCAGCTGTCCATCGAACGATAGAATAGCTTATCGGGACGTACATCTGCAGACAAAAGCCTTGAAACTGACAGAGGGCCGAGCTGTTGCCTGCCGCGGGCCCGCTTGTCGCAATCATCGTCGCAATAAAGTCAAACAAATTATAAAACGCATTGATGAAGATCAGGCGATGCATTGGATTGCGAAAATGCCGCGAACAGGCAAATGTGCCGATGATCGTGATGACTCCCAGGATGGAGAGAATCGACGCGACACGCTCGACCGTAGCCAACATGCGAGTTTGCGCTTCAGTGAGGGCCATGGCGGATATGGTAAGGGCATACGGAACTTGATATTTTGAGGGAAGTGGTCCTACAAAATCAATGTTCGATCACATATCTGCCCAGCACGTTGCATATGGCATGCAAGTGCCAAAATGATGCAACTTAATATCAGTTCCACATGTTGGGAATGATCCCACGCATGTCACTAGACACTCGTCTTGTGTCTGATAGCGCAATAATGCTGACGAGGAGGGAAAGTGCAGAATATACCGTTCTCTGAGATCTACTGGACAAGGCGAAATGGTAAATCGCACCACGCTATGGCGTCATTTGTACCCAGTTTGATGTATATACGGCGTGTCCCGCACTAGCCTTTTGTTTGCTTTTTTGGCGGTGGTCGCTGGATTTCTGTTCACAAGCGAGAATATCAAATAATCATCGGTTGAAGACTCATTCGGACTTTACGTAGCTCGGCTCGCCCAAAACTCGAGAAGTCTTGCGTGATCTCAAGTATCACCGCCATGAAATCGTGCCGAGAGCTTATCAGGACTGCGGCGCAGCAACACGAAAAAAGTCTGCTTGAAACACCACCCCATGTAACAAATCCAGGCAGAGTCTAGACGTAGAATTTGGACCAAGACGCGAGAAGCGAAACTTGCGCAGGAACTCCATCAACATGATTTGCGATCGGTTACCTGTACACTGGTCCTTTGGGGGTTTCTTCATCGTGGTTGGATAACTCGGCTTAGCCTAACATGAACCCTGTTCTAACGTCATTCATGGCGCTGCTTCTGTCATACTTCTGACCAAATCTGATTCAGAATTCGATCTTGGCAACCCCTGACATGACCCGCCATCTTGATAAGCGAGCATTCAATGTGTGCTCTGTTCCGGCTGCAGCGGAAGCCCAAATCGTCGGAATTCATGGTAACTCCAAACCTTATACCATCTGAATCTTATAGACTCATAGTCCATGTCGGTCATATCGCTATTGTCTGTATCAAGAGGTAAGCATCGTCAAAGCGACTCATACCAACCTGTCGCGACACGCGGACTACATTAAGCGGGTGTCTTTCTACCACCTTTGGAAAGAAGGCACTCAATGGGACGTACATATTCCTCTGTCAATGCTCACATTGATGCTCGTAGCACTACTCATACTCTGTAGATCTTTGTTTTTATTTAGGGTTGGGAAGGTGGGAGATTCCTGTGGTTCATACAAAGTGCCGCCTTGGCGCGGGGCCGTGAAGAAATTTTTCCCCTGCATTTCATGGAATCTCCACTGCAAGACCACCAAAATAGGTTCAGCTAAAGATCATCTCAGCTCTTCCTCAATATTCCGAGTACACTATAGAGGGGATCGACGAAAATAAACGGATCAAGCTGGATCATACAGGCCATAGCAGTTCGAAATGAACCCCCTGCGGTATCTGGCCCCTCCCCGCCCCTTTGGGGACATCTCAAACTCCACCCCCGAGGAGATCGAGGGGAGAGAGTTATTTGCGAGTTGTCTCTTAAATAATTCACACCTGAGCATGTCGGATTCAGACAGAGAGGTCATCCATGCGTACAGAGATGCGTGCCGCCGTCTTGATGTCGGGGAGAGCCAAACGCGCGAAAGCGACATGCAAGCTGTTAGAGAATACGAGCAATCACTACAAACCAACGGACCAGCGAATCTTTGTTTTGATCTGGCTACCAGGACCAAAATGGGTGAGGAACTCGATAATCTCCACGATATGTGGAGCTATGTCCGTTATGAAAAGTACCTCCCGGCCACGGTCAAGGAAGATGCGGAAAAGCATCCTTCATCCAAAGTCTCGGACCCCTGGCACAAGGCTTTCTGGAAGCCATTCTATGGACGCCTCGAAGCCGAGGCAGACGCGTGGGCTCAAGTAATGTCGGGTAAAAACCACCTCAACGAATGCCCGACATACCTTCTGCTGGCCCTGTTGTGTGAACAGCAAACAATGGACTGGGACGAGACCCTCGCGCTGATCAGATACTGCGCCGTGGAGGGTGTCGAACTCCCGAAAGCGGATTTTGTGGATTACTTGAAGGCCAAAGATGTGACTGGTCTCGCGAAGAGGCTGGAGCGCGATGAAAACACCATCGCTTTGTCTACGGAGTATGTCATGGGCGTCGGCACGATGCTCCTCGCATACTTCAGGATGCATCTCCCCGAAGCGCTATATGAGTATGAAGAGGATCTTGACCCGGAAAGCTGGGTCCCTAAGGAACGGCTGCACGATTTGATGGCGCTTCAGGACGGACACGAGCAAGCAGTCCAGGAGTTAATCCGGGAGATTTTCTATGAGATGGTCCTGGGTGGATCTGACGATGATGACGAAGAGGCTTGGGACGATGAGGATGAGAATTCGGATGAGGATGATGTTATGGATGAGGCTGATTGATGCCGGTGACGTTGGTCTTTCTGCCGTGATGTCCACCTTGGGTGGTTATTATGGTGCTAATGGTTACGACGACATCGTCTACATGGGCAACGGGCAGTTTGCGCAATATCAATGGGTCTGTCAGATGCAAGACGAATTATGGGCGGTTCATCTCTTTCGGCTTTTTTCCCCCTTGTTTTTTGATTCCATCTCGTCTTCTAAGACAACACTCGAAACTCCATGTGTGATACCCTCTATTTAAAGAAAAGTTTTCAGTGGTGCAGTCCCGAACACCGATTTATTATATGACACTGGTCGTGTATCCTCATCTTGTAATGCTTTGTTGTAGATCGCACTCCTATCACTAAAACGAGTACGGAATGTTTCCATTCCCTTTATGTTGTCGGGGAACGGATTGGGTCTGGTGTCCCGCTAAATATCCCAACTCTTTCCTTCAATTGTCAGGCTGCGATTTGAATCTACTCAAAACAACGTTCTCCTCTATTCATTAGTCCGAAAAGGCCAGCCTCTCTTTTTCATCAAAAATGGCCCTCCTACCTCAGCAGAGCGTCCAAGTGTCTATCCCAGAACCACTCCCACCCATCATCACTCATAGATTGTATCTTCGACCTCTGGCCGACTCTGATGCAGAGGGCTTATTCGCCATCCGGTCACGACCTGAAGTTGCCAGGATGAAGTATGTGGCCACTTGTTGATCTCGTTTCCAGAACCAGAGCCTGACACCGACCGTAAGCTATCCCAAAACCCCTCATAGAACGGTCCAAGAAACACGGGAATGGATGGCCACCAAGATCTTCACTGCAGGCCCTGAGAGTGTCCTTGGTCGTCATTTTACCTATGTACTCATTGAACGTGAACAATGGGAGGATGAGGTTCAGCCACCACCCGCCGAGAAACAGGTCATTGGCTACATGAGTATCAATCAAATATATCCCAGCCCTGAGATTGGGTATTCTATTCATCCTGATTACTGGGGAAAGGGATATGCGACGGAAGCTTTGGAGGGACTACTAAAGGCATGGTGGAAGTTACCTCGTCAACCTCAGAATTCTGCAGAAGACGGGAGTGAGGGCACCGAAAAAGTCTTCGCCCTTTGCGAGAAGATCAACGCGGGCTCGAGCAAGGTATTGAGCAAATGTGGATTCAGGGTGATTAAGCAGATGGGGTATGATGAGGATGAATTGTTGCTGTGGGAGTTAGAAGCGCCGGTGCTTAAGCACACATGTCCATGAGAGTGTATTAGTCAAATATTCCGAAGCTAACAAAGATATTCAACGCAATTTCAAAGTCAGAAACATATTATCATCACTACTGCTATATCCCCCAAAAGGCCCGCAGAGCTCAAACCCCATCCCCAGATACAACTGCCGAGCGCCTCAAACCTCCCGTCCGTCCCCGTCTCCAGACTCAACGAGTGGTACTCCCTCTCCCTCGCTTCGGCAATGATATGCTTCAATATAGCCTTGGCAACGCCTTTCCGCAAGTGACCCTGGACTGTCCGCATCGATTTGATCTCTCCGTGCGTCGGACTGAGTTCTTTCAACGCGCCGCAGCCTAATAGGCTGTCGCCCTCCCAGGCGGTATACAAAGCAATGGACGGGTTCTGGAAAGCGGTTAGGTCCAGCGCAAAAGATGTCTCAGGGCGACCTTGACTTCGAAGTTCGGTGAAGTGGTGATGTAGCAAGTGTTGGACCTCTGGACGGTCAAAAGCATCGGATCTGATGAGTATTGTTGTTGTCATTTCAATCTGTGTTGTAGAGTCTTTGGAAGAGATTCTGCTGCTATGGTGGATGTAGGTGGCAGTTAAAGGTTCTGGTTGTGGCAAATCGTCATTATCTATGTAGATATGTGCAGAACCAGGATAACAGGCTGATTTTAATGAATTGGCAACATTGACAATTTTAGACTGTCATGAAATACTAACCTGACTTTAATCTTTTGAATCTCCAAGATCTTATCTATGAGTCACCAATTGACCAATACGAGTACCGCTTGAATTCAATGATGGCTGCCCGAACAAAGCCAAAGCTCCTCAGCTGCCTACCCGGACTGCCCAGACGGACTACTTCATCTCTATGAGAGGTTGCCTGCTGGAAGAAAGAGACCGATGTGGTGGGATAGCAGTTGATAAGGTTCTAAATATAACGGACTCCTGGAATATACTCTATGTCCAGCATCATAATCACATAGAAAGAACCGCAAGCCTGATTTTACCTTATTAAAATAGCCTGACAGACATACAGAGGATATTCGAGGGATCATTGGATGGTAAAGCCGCCATCGACTCTGATATCCGCACCATTGACCATGCCACTTGAATCCTATACCCTCAATCAGCATCACGCCGCTGCAAGTTTCTATGAGAGACCTACCTGACAAAGAAAGACAGCAGCATCCGCAACTTCCTCAGGAAGAGCAAATTTCCCAGTGGGAATAGTCTTCAAAAAGGCCTGCCGCACGGACTCTTCCCCCCAAGCCTTCTTCCCGAGAGCCGTCCACGCCACTGTCGGTGATACAGAGTTTGATGTAATACCTCGTCCTCCCCATTCCGACGCCATACTGCGAGTCAATCCTAGCAAGGCAGCCTTGGAAGCGCAGTACGCCCCATGTCGCGGCAGCGCCACATGCGCAGCTTGCGATGCAATGTTGACAATTCGACCGGGTGGGGAGGGAGTCGCCGATGATTCTGCAGCCTTGGAAGCAGCAAAGTAGAGGCGCGCAAAGGCCTGCGAGCAGAGCATCGGTCCAAGGACATTGGTGGTCAAGTGTTTCATGGTTTCCTCTGGCGGAGTCATTTCCATGTCACTAAGCGAGACATATCCGGCGGTGTTGATGAGAATGCTCGGAAAGGATCCAACGCGTCGGTTTACTGGCGATGGTCTGATCATTTCCCGCTCCAGAGCGCTAAAGGCAGACTCGACTGATGCTGGCGAAGTAATATCGCATTCATAGATACGAATTGCGTCGTTGGCTCCTCCATAGCCGGATCTGAGAAGCTCTTCTCGGCGGGCAGCTTCGAACGGAGCATAGAGAATGGCGAGGTGGGCGCCTTTTTCTCTGAGCTTCTTGCCTATGCTGGAGCCTAGGCCGCCTACGTAGGATATTTGTGTCAATTTGCGTTGTTTTCTGGTATCGAGGTGTCCATTCGTGTACCTAGACCTCCAGGGAGGATAGCTAATCTGCCAGCGAAAGCCATTGTGGTCGGGATATGGGGCGAATTTGTCAGACTTGCTATGAGCGTGGTTACAGAATCGCTGAATTTATTTTTAATCTTCCATCGAAGTTTTAACTCCTCTGGCAGCCACGGCATTGTAACTCTTCAGGCAAAGAGGAGCATGATGGGTCGGCGCATCCCCGATATGACGTCAGGTCGCGGGGAAGCCCTAGTACCATTTGGAATACGAGAGGTATAAGGCAAAATGTGTGAAAAATGCTCAAAAGGATAGAGTTGAGATCGCTTTCCTATACCTTAGCTTATTGATAACAACCCCACCGCCTTGGCCTACCTCTGACTCACAAGCGGGGTTAAGCACTATTATCTTTGGGAGGAAAAGTGAGCGCCGTACACTCAAGGATACTCCAGACAAACTTGGTACTAGTGATTGCTTCAAACCCGTGACAGGAAGACATTAAACAGCACTGACTATGCCTCGAAAAGCCCGAGTGCTCTTGGTTGGAACTGGAGGAATTGGTACCATTGCCGCACTCAATCTTGAGCGCGGAGGGTTAGCCGAAGTCACCTGTGTCCTAAGATCTAACTATGAAGCGGTCATAAACAGGGGGATTGAAATTCTCTCGTGCGAACATGGTCATATACAAAACTGGCGGCCGACTACAGGTTTGCAATCTTCCTCTTATAGAATGACACGGCGTGGCTGACCGGAGCGATTCAGTTCTAAATGCGGTTCCTCACGTCCGTAACGAAGACAGTAATACCTTCTTCGACTATATTGTCTGCACCACCAAGAACATCCCGGACGTTTCGCCCTCTATATGCGACACAATCGCTCCCGCAGTGACTCCAGGCCATACAGTGATTGTTCTCATTCAGAATGGGTTGAACATTGAAAAACCATTCTTGTCTCGTTTCCCCCAGAATGTCGTTCTCTCCGGGGTTAGCCGATGCGACGCTCACGAAATCGCCCACGGAGTGATCGAACAGAAAGAGGAAGATGACCTCCACATTGGCGCCTTTCGCAACCCGCTTCTCGACCAAGATACCCAACGAAAGGCCGCGGAGCAATTCGTGCATATCTATGGTGCGGGAGGCAAGACTAACGTGCGACATGAGCCGAACTGGGAGCGAGATCGCTGGAGCAAGCTGGTGTACAATGCGACCCTGAATCCCATCTGCGCTCTGACTGGGGTCAATACGGGCGATTTACAAATCGCGGGGAGTGCACTTGATCGCTTGGTTATTCCTGCTATGCAGGAGGTTGTGAAAGTATCTCAAGCCGTGGGGATCGAACTACCGGATGATATCATCGAGAAGACGATTCGTAAGAATCCGAAGGAGAGGAAGATTGCTCCTAGCATGCAAAAAGATATGCAAAAGGTAAGTACACACTTATCCCTCGATTAACTTGAAGACTCACAATTGTAGGGCAATCTACTTGAGCACGAGAATCTCATCGGAGAGGTGGTTCGCGAGGCAGAGAAACGAGGCGTTTCTACACCCATCTTGTCTGTTCTGTACGAGCTATGCTCCGCTGTTCAGTGGAGGGTGGCCAAGGAGAGAGAGAGGCATTAGATTATCATAGAATATAACTTCTCTGATGTCCATATTTTCTGTTGCTCCTATGCTTGAGACGAAAAACGCAGCCGTGTCCAAATGGAGGGGATTTCATGTAGTTTAATACGGCGTCGAACTGATAGGACAACATCGCCAAATTGCCAAGCATGTCATCCTGGCTCATCCTGATCCAAAATATCCCAATTCTCGACAAATTCGTTTTTAACTATATGCACTCCAGTATTAATAGTAATCCTTAATACACCGATACTGTCCCTATCAAGATACCTGCACCTAAATTCTAGACAAGTGTAGGCTCTTCTGCTAGTGCATTTTACGATTTGTGATTGGGCAATATATTCTGGACATGAACGGTTAAAATAAAATACAGACGGCAAGGGAACGTCAACTGCTCATAAGGATGGCCCTAGTTACGGTCGGTCACAATAAAGAAAACATGGTGAGGAGCAAGATATCCAGACTAGTAATGATATCCTTTAGTTCTGGTGATGATACTTGGTGGATTGCACTAGATTGCTGTACTCATGGATGCCATGTTCGACACCAGAAAGTACTGACCATATAGTCGAAGATGGAGGTATCCTACCCATGCATTTTGCAGGACTTTGCTATCCGATTTGTAAGACTTAAAATATTTATTGTAGTCTTGAGACTTAGCTTAGACCTATGTCAAAGATGGGAATACTCCGTATGCCTTACTCCCCGGAAAAGCCTGTTGGCAGTCCTGGAAATCAAATCAAGGGTATCTGTCAGAAGATGTCTTACGCTCTTCCTGCCTAAGCGAAAGGAAGGGACCGAGGTCAAAATTATGATCTAATGCTATGATTGGCGCCCTGATAATATCCCCATATTCAACACTTTGTGGGATATCCTGGGAAGTCCAGAGAGCGAGTTCAGGGCGACGTGACTAGAGACCATGGCTGATATTAGAATTTTCACATCAATATCGCACCCGACTATCGAAGCCTTCGTCGGTACACAGGAAATGATGACGGATACATGGAATGTATTCCTCTGGCCTCAATATTGTAGAAGCTATGCCGCTGATGCACCATATTCAAAGCACTATTTTCTTATTCTCGTTTCGACGGCTGCACCTTACACCTGGTTGCAAGCTTTTAATTGTTCCTCGACCCCTGTAGCCAAGAAGGCGCTAGGCCATGTTTGTGAATTATGCCGAGCCCCTGTCTCAGGTTTTGGTCATGAGACGGTATGGAATGTTTTATGACTCCGAATAGGATAATTTAATAATATCTAGCTAAGAATTTTAGGAATGTACCGACTGCTGGAATAACTAGAGGATTAGCTTCATGAAGGTGCTCAATCTAGTATTTAAAAGTAAATGCTTAGGAAAGAGGGAGGTAATATAATAGTTATAAGTTCAGTGTTTTAATAGGCTGTTATAAAGCTTTACTAGAGCTCTAAGCCCTAAGTAGAAACTATATTAATAGAGATATCCTCTTTTATTTTATAACTTTCCAATATGGAACTGCCCAGGCAACTAGACGCGTATAAGAAAAGTTGCAGCAAGCTATATAATATAGTTCCTTTCCTTCTCTGCATGCTCAGTTTTTCGTCGATTAGCTACCCTTAGATAGGAATGAGCACCTTCACAGGATCTACTGTTTACCCATAATTCTATGATCTTGCAATCTTAACCCTATTCAAGCTTTACAAGGCGTGTTCCTTCTTGCTGAATCCTGCACCGAGCAGCGCTGAGCCGAGCTAGTCAGCTCTCAACCGTCACATTTAGTGCATCTATGGTCTCAATTAACCGAACCCGAAGATTAATTAACCGAAGGCTGACAGTAGCGTTTGGTGGCGCCTACTAGCACTTCCTTGCTCCAACAATAATGCTACGTATCCTTAGGTCCTCCCTGCAACATCAGGAAGGAAGGCAGGACTATGGCCAAGGTTAGAATCAGGGGCAAGAGGCAGCACTGCTGGCGATGCCATCAGGCTATACAAGGGATACGTATAGCAGCTTA